TCTGAACCACAGTCCTATGTCCTCTCTGTGTTGTGTATTCCATTGTGTTGGGTTTGGTGTGCTGGTGTGCAAGGGGTTGGCATGGCACAATTTGTTTTCTTTGGGATGTCCCTGTTACCTGGGACATTGCGTCCTAGATGAGCTCTTCTTGATCATTGTGTCTTCTTTGAGGTGACTTGACTTTGTTGAATGAAAGGCTCTGCTTGTCTAACTCTGCCCACCAACTCTGTGTTGGAAAGGTCCCAACACAATGTACTCCTGGTTAAGAGATAAACCAGTGGTGCCATTTGATTGTCTTACCTACTCTGAATCAGTGAGCCTGCTAAGTCTTCATACCCAGGAAGTCCATAACTGACAGTGTCAGGGGAGGTTTTAAGTCCCTCTTCCCTAGTCTTCACATGAGTTGGAATGCTTTCCTGGATCCTCATCACTCACTCATGCAGCTTGTTCCAATCTGTAACTTAGTTTCTTGCACAAGGATTCCTAGCTCTGAGTGGGGAGGTGACACTCAAGGATCATCCTCCCTTCCTGACAATCACTGATTTAGTCTAAATCCTTTATTTTTTTACAGATCTGGAACTGGAGACTCACAGGACTCGTCTAAAGTCTCATAGTAACCTAATGAATGGGTAAAGCCAAATCTCTTGTTCTGGGCAGGATTAAGTGGGGCAGATCTCCCTGAACTGCTGTTCATGCCTCGTTAGCATCAGAGATGGTATCAAGCCCAAGCCTAGCAGCTGCAGTCTCTGAACAGGGGCAGGGACAGCCCAGAAGGGTTTATTGGAAAAGGCTGTCTCATACAATGAACCACTGCATGAGAGAGTAACTGTGGCTTCTGCTAAGATACATCAGCTGTCTCTCTGTACCTTAATTGATATAGGAGAAAGATCTTATTGGCTCACAACCAGTGACAAATTAGAAGCGATTTAGTTCTCTTCAAAGAAACTAGTTATAACTCTGACCCTCTCCAATCTCAATTAGTCACCCTTTCTTTGTGCTCTAAAAGCATTTTATTTGTATCTCTAGTTGGCATGGGACACAAGTCACTGCATTTTCAGTGTTGTTAGTTCATATGTTGGCACTGTGTAGTGGTTCAAACTGGGGACTCATGGGATACCCATGCCCGGGTTAGGAGGCTTTTGTAAATATTTAGCGTATTTGATACCTTTTAAGGCAGTAATAAATGCATACATTCAAGAGATTTTAAACAATTTAATAATATAATTTTGTTCCTGAAGATTATGTATCAGAGTACAAATCTAAAGTGAATACAATAAGGGTGACCCTCCTCAACGGAAGGATTAAAACTAAGAAATAGATATCTTCTCACTTAATCTGCATCTGTGCATTCCAGACCAGGACACAGAGATTTTGTTGTTTTTCCCTTCTAGAATGACAGAAGAATAATCTTTTGGGGGAAGAACTCATGACTTTTAAATAAGACAGTTGTGCTGTAAAACATACTATTTGCAAGAAAATTATTTAATGTGGAAAGAATGTGGTTAAGAATATAGTAATATGCTATTTGCAATGTGTAGCATCCAAGGACACTTTCTTTTTCTGAAACAATGTTTTGGGAAGTATGTTAATTTTAGAAGTTGGGGACACAGCCCCTGAACTGCCCTGGCTCCGGCTTCTGGTATATGACACAGAAGGGCACCATTGACTTATCCATCTTTAAAAAGTGACTATCCGGGTTTTGAAGCATAGATCACTCTCCACATGTTCGGAAAGAAATTCTCAGGGGAGGCCCTAGCTGGCAGCCCTCTATCTCGCTGCATGATGCATTTCATTTGTTATTCTGGGCAGTCTGATGGGAAGAGGCTAAAATTTGAGTCCCCCACCCCAACCCTGTTCTCATACTTTAGGAGTCAATGTCTGGACATAACTGGCTTAGGTTGACATAAGATTAAGGATTTAAATTGATGGGAGTGAGGAAGCTTTGAAATTTAAGGCCATCCTATGCCAATTTTGTTTTTGAAGCTCTCTGGAAATGAAAATGGGAAGACATTTCACTCGTTAATTGTACATTGGCCAGAATGGACTTCTAGGCTGCTAAAGCACTCTAGCTCTCAATGACCTCATGTTCGAAGTTCCTGACTGCTCTTTTCAGTGGGTGGTTGTGGTATCCTTTTTTTCTAGTAACAGGGATGAAAGCTGACTTACTCAGTTCTTTAGGGAAGACTGCGAATGAATGTGTGATGAGCTCTGTTCTGATGGTGGAGCAGGGCTGAATCCCCAACCACTAGGATCCCGGTTAGAAAACTTCCTCAGGCTGAGAGTGTGATTTTCCCACTGACTCCTCCCTCCACTCTCCTGTACAGTGGCCTTCTCTTCGCTATCCCTTAGCACAACTAAAATGTGCAAGGCCACAAATGCCCCCCCAGAATCTCACTCTCTGGGCCAGACTCTCTGAACACAGGGTGCCTCAGACAACAGGGAGGGGACCCAGACCCAATTAGACTGAGGGACACCTGTGTCACTTTTTGAACTGCACAAAACAAGGAAGGCTCTGCACCCACCTCTTGCAGTTATTCCCTGGATTTAGTTTTTACTTTAGCACATTCTGTCTTATCCTTTGCTGTCCAGGAAGACTCGTCCAAGAGTGTCTTTGTCACCGTGATTTCTTACAAAGACAGAGCAGGGATCTGGGGCAGCTGTGTTCCCAAGGCCTCCATGGCAGCTTTTGGGTACAGGCAGGACCTCTGCCTGGCCACCACTTCATGCAGTCACCACCTATACCCCATCCTCCCTGTTAAAGACCCACGCATAGGAGTTGTGTACATGGCAGCAATACAGTGGAAACAGTAAGGTTTCCTCTTTTCTTTTCTTTTCTTTTCTCTTTTCTTTTCTTTTTTCTTTCCTTTCCTTTCCTTCCTTTCTTTCTCTTTCTTTCTCTCTCTCTCTTCCTTCCTTTCTTTCTTTCTCTCTCTCTTTTTCTTCCTTTCTCTCTCTCCCTTTCCTTCCTTCCTTCCTTCCTTCCTTCCTTCCTGCTTGCTTGCTTGTTTCAGTTTTGAAACTCAGAAAAATCCTGGCTTTACCCTGGATCGCCCAAGAAGATTTCTTGACACCTTAATTACATTACATTTGTAAAAGTGAGAATGTGAACACACAAGTTCAGGAATTATTCTGGAAGTCGCATGAGTTCCTATGTAATGCAGTAGCCTAGTGTGAGCCACATTGCAGGTGTGCTCTTGGTATTCCTTCTTTTTCTTCCCGCTGGATACATCCCACGTCCCCGCCACTCCGGCAGTTCTTCTGTAATCTTCCATGATGTTGTTCCTCTCTCACCCTGATTGCTAAGAGGGTTTTGCCAGTGGTTCTGCCTTCCTGTATTTTTCCTTTTCCTCTAGTAGCTGATATGATCCCTCTGGAAGAACACGAGGCTTGGAACTACTAAGGAGATGTGTGTTTCCCAGAGCCCAGCAGCAGAGTTTTAATGAGTTCTTTCACTAGAAAAGGGAGAAGCAGAGCTATCCTTTACCTCCAACATGCAGTTTGGTTCTGTAGGTTTCTCAAAGCTGGATGACTGTGGGCTACTGTGCCTGGAGATGAAAAGGCTATAAACATTTCTCTTCAAGTTGCTGCAGTGAGAAGTAAAGTTAGGTTATTGATTGTATGGCGCCTATGAGCTAACGGTCTGTTTTCATTATTAAAACAAATATGATTTTGGTTTTTGGTTTATGGAGATTGCTCCCTTTCTACTTAGATGGCAGTGAATATTCAGTAAGGATATCAATAAAGGCCATGCCAGTGGTTGGGCCTCCAAAGCTGTCCTCTGCATGGTAAAAGAGAGAAGAAACTTTAAGTGATTGAAAATGAAAATGAGAGCTTGATTGGAAGCCAAATTATAAATTTATTTCAACTCTTGGCCTACAGGCTGTGAAGTAACATTATTGGTTGTCAAGGATGGAAAACAGTTCAGAGTCAGGTCCAAGTGATTATTCCACGTTGACACTGGTGCCTCCCTGCTAACTGCAATTCCATTTAGTCATAGATTAATTAGCCTGGCAGAGGCAGAAGAAGGCAGTGAGAGCCAGCCAAAGGAGGCAGCACCGCCAGGACCCGAGGGGGGCCCCAGGCAAGTGACAACCCACCTCAGGGTTAACCCCACGTTGAATTAGGGGAAGACAGTGTGGATGAAAAACAGACTCTACACTTCTCTACTTCACCTTCCAGGGCCACTGACTTGGCTGATGCCAATGAGCTGGAGAAACCCTTCACCTCAGTCCCGGGAGGCGCCCCGACTCAGGGACCAGCGCCTACAGACCTAGAGGCTCACCTGCCTTTGCCCTGGGGCTTGTTCAAATCCTGAGGGACACTATTACTCCGGCAAATGAAATGGAAGCAACGGCGTGTGTATGCACACACATATTCCTGGGTTATAAGGACAGATGGGATAAAAATCGCTAAAACTCCTGGGCAAGTGGGCTCTGTGTGAGTTAAATGAAGACAGGGTTATTAACACAGGTAACAAACAGGTAGTTCGATCTGTTCTCACAGTATTTCCCACTGGCCTTCCATTCCAGAGTGGCCTACCTTTACCCCTTTCCCATTCTGCTTTCATCTTAGCCACACATCTATTTCCTCCAAGGAAAGTCCTCTCTGGCAGGGACAGCGCGGTGTGGTGCCCACTCCTGTCCCCTGCAGGGTCTCTCGCTGGAATAAAATGAGCTTGGAGCGCTGCAAGCCCGCCCCTCAGGTAGCCCGACAGCGGTGGCACCCAGCGGGACCCAGACCACTGTCTTCCCGGAGCTGCTGTTCCTCGGGAAGCGACCCCAGTGGAGCGCGGGCGCCAGGGCGGCTGGCGCTGTCCCGCCCCGCTGCGCGCTGCGCTGCCGGGGACCGGCGGGGTGCACGGTGCGCTGGGCGGGCTGCCCAGGGGCGGGCGCGCCTGGCCGCCTCCTCTTTCCGAGCGTGGGGACTCCTCCCTTCCCTGGAGAAAGCTTACGTGAGGATTTTCTATTTTCAACACTGCATTCTATGGCTTTTTTTTTAAGTGGTGGCGTTGAGCCCGGTCCTTGCAGCGAGGCGAGCGGCAGCGCCTCCCTCCGGACTCCCGCCCTGGAAGCCGGCGCGACTCGGGCGCTGTCACAGCCTCGGGAGCAGACGTGCCACTTGGAGCGGTTGGCACGGGGCGCGCTTCCTTCTGGCGAGGTTAGCTTTTATTTGTTTGTTGTTTGTTCTTTTCCACGTGGAAGCGCTCCGCTTGCCTTCTCGGTCTTCTGCGCGGCTTTCGCTTGTTAAAACTTTGATTTTTAAATTTTGAAACAAGTATTTTTTCATTTTACTCATTCAAGTAGAGAGGGGAAAGTACTTGCTTTGGGGGAGTAAGACTTTCATGAATCATGAAACATTTGATCACTTTGTGGTGTCACTTGACTTTTCCCCTTCTAGTTAGATTCCTGATCAAGGAGAAGGCCAGGACAGTTGGTACTCAGTGCGGGAATGATGTAGCCGTTCAGACCTTTGCTTGTACTTCCAGGTAAGTGCATCTGTTTTATTCAGTACTCTGGGTATATTCGAAATATGCTAAATTTCATTTTATTTTCAATAGTTGGATTAATGACACGCTTTTATTTCAAGATAGCTTTACTTTTTCCAAGTAATACAGTTACTTAGCTTTGAATCCTCTTTTTCGGTTTTAAAAGACTGTAATCTACATTTAATTTTGCCAACTTTTTAAAGTATTTATCTCTTCTCAGGGTGGCAAATGACTTAAATCAATAACAGCTACAAGAGCTACATAATTCTTTTTTTATAAAAAGTGTTCATTGAAAGCAGCATTTTTGTCCTTTTTTGCAAGTTAGGACAAAATATTAATCATTCTAAAATACAGTACCCTGTAATCAAATGGTTAGAACAATTTTGGCTATGCTACAAAATATTTATTTAAATACAATGGTTTAGAAAATTAAACAATGAGTTTTTTTTAAACTTACAACATCTCAGAAGTACATTTCCTAGAATTCTTTGAGAGGAGCACCTTGATGGATTATGTGGTTGGTTTCAGTGGGCGAACAGATATAAATCTCTGGAATATTGTTTCAGTTCTGTTCTTAGGAACCAATAATTTTGAGATTCTTTGCAGAAAGGTATTTATTATACCTGGCAAGACTAAACTTAAAAAAACATAACAAAAAACAAAAGAAAAACCTTGAGGGGATCATTAATGTTGCAGTGCAACAATGTAAATTGGGAAGGTATGGATATGGCTCCTATATTCAGCGAAGCAATTCCTTTCATAGTTCTCTCTAGAAATGACTCAGTTGACTTAAAAATGAAGACAGGTTAGTTGTGCTCCAGATGCACATTTGTCCTTGAAACGAGGCCTTTGCCTTCTCTCTTTATTTAACAAATTTCTGTGGAGGTTTTCTTCATGCTTTACCATGATCAAGATAAAAGACTGGGAGTCAGAGCATTTGAACTGTGTTGTACTAGATGACAGAGTATGTGGAGTTTTAAAAGGAACTATGTTTGATTGACTAAAAATAGAAAAATGAGCAACCTTGACAAAATGTTTTTGACTTGGGTGGAGGAGAAGAGAACAATGTTAAAACCTTGACATAATGTTAGAAAAGCATCAAAATAAACTTAGAAAAATAGGGAGATAGTCTAAAGCTGATTAAGTTCTACTCGGCAAATGCAAAGTTAGAGGAGATTTATATTCTGAAGTTAGGTTCTTAGAATAACGTGCTTGGGTGGCAGAAGCGTAAGGCTGCACAGTGTATGTTGGATCTGAGTGACTGTCACAATGCTGTTGAATCTCAGCACACATGCAGGGGACAGTGCCAGGGAGCCAAGGGCCATCCAGGGGAGTTAGGGCCGTCATCTTTTTCCAGGAACTATTTCTTACTTTTATGGAGTCAGAGTTTGAATGTCCTGCAGCAGCGGACCCTCCCCAGGCCCACAAGAAACTCAGGTGTCACCTACGAAGAGATGAATAGCAGTGCTCTCCCTCTGGTCAGCAGATGCTGCACATTGCATGGGCTTAGTAATGACGGCAAGAGAGGCAAGAGAGGCAAGAGAGTTGTTTGATTCAAATACTCAATAGTGCTAGGCCACAAAAGTTTTGCAATCAGGAGTTAATTGTTAATTAACTCAATAATAAGTTAATTGTTAATAATAGTTAATTGTTAATCAATAATATTAATAATAGTTAATAATAATTATTAAAAATAATACAATTATTAATAATAATTAATAATAATATCAATAATGTTCATAATAGTTTATTGTTAATCAATAATAGTTAATTGTTAATTAACTCAATAGTGCTAGGCCATGAAAGTTTTGCAATTGGGATACCCTTGTGTCCTAAACACATCCTTCATGGAGCCTGTCCCAGTACGGTTCCTCCTCAGCTAATTGCTACCCACCATATATTTATCTTTATTCAGTAGCTTGTCACAGTTCATTGATATATTTTCTGCTGCTCCCTACCCTGAATGCTTCCACATTTCCACATCTTAATTCCCTTCCTCCTGTCAGGAAGAGATGTGCTGCTGTCTCAGGGCTGTCCCTTCCCCTCCCTGTGCTTTGATGCCACCTGCTCAGGTCTCCACCTTCCTGGGCCCTCTCTAGCCCACTCCTCCCCCATGTGAAGCTGTGTTATCTCCACATTCTTCTTTCTGCTTGGAATACATTCTTCTTGTAGCTCCTTAGAAAACTACTCATCTTTCAAAACTCATCTCCACAGCTTTTGGGGAAGCTGAGAGAGGGAAGCTTTCCTCTGTAGACATTGCTTAGTCCTGAGAACCAGGACCTGGCTTCTGTGAGGCACCTCGTAAAGGAATGAATGTATGAGTGAGTGAGGGAATGAATGAATGAAAGGTGGAAAGTGAGTAAAGAGATGTCTCATGCCTGAGTCTCTGTCATTTCTGTTTGCAAGATGGTCTTGTAAACAGAGAGCAGACTTTGCTTTCTCAGTTGATCATCCACCTCCTCCACAGTGTCTGGAAATCAAGGTTCTGTAGACACATCACCTTGTAGGCTCTTAGTAGCTCTGCAAGCTCAGGAGCAATATCTACCACATATCATAAAAAGGTCACTGATCCAGTCTTCTTGAAAATGAACCAGGTGTAAATGCAGCTATGTGCTGCCTGCAGACATTTCCATTCACAGTAATGGTTGTCCCATGAGATTATATCAGTGAGGGACATTGCAGCCTTCAAAATTTGTGTAAGTTTGCTCCATAAAATTCCCTTTTGATGCATTTCTCAGAACTCATTCCCATTGTTAGCTAGTGCTTGTCCATAATATCATAAAACTATCCTGTAGTAACTCGGCATATTTGAAAAGGCAGATAATCAGTAGAACAGTTTGTGTCTGAGGAAGTGGGCTTCTTTTATATATATTTTACTTTTAAGATATTTTCATTTCTTAGAATGAGGTGCAGTGTAAAGTCTGCAAGCTTTTAGTGAGTGTCAGCTTTGACCACCTCGATTCTGATTTATACTCCGGAGCCATAGTTTGTTTTCCACCCTTGAGGCTGCACTAGAAGGTTCATACTGGTGCCAGAATGCATAGTCAGTGACACACACTTTCTGTCCAGTTTTCACATCTTCCTGTTAGTACTTCTTGTTGATACTTCCTGTTGGTACTTGATTAGGCCTTGTTTCATGTCTTTCATATTCTGTTGTATGGCTCTGCTTATTCAGATTCCCTGTGCAGGGAATTAGGTTCAAGTGTCCAAGCCTGCTCTTCAGCCTCTCATGTCTAGGGCTTCTCTTGCTTTTTCCCACTCATGGGCAGCATTGTCAGGGGAGGAGCCTTTCCTAAGCCCCAGCCTAGGCTGGTCTGGCCATTGTGCCTCTTTTGCCTGTTTTCCCCATTGTTTATAATTATTTACTTGTTAGATTCCATCCTTTCACCATTCCTATCCCTGAAGGAGATATGATCTCTACATTTTACCATCTAGCATATGACTTTTCATATTCATAGGCACAAACAAATGTTTGGATGAGTTTCTGCTATCTGGAAACGCTCATTGGACCCGATCGCTGCAGGCATTTTGATTTGCCTTGCTTGACAGTGTGCCTACCTTCTTCCCTCAGCTGCTGTCTTTTTTTTTTTTTAACTTTTTATTTTCTGTGCCACCATGAAGGGGAAGGATTTGAACCCAGGAAGTCTCACTCCAGCACTAGGGCTTGCTTAGTTAAATCAGTTGTTTAAGTCAAAGAACAGGAGAAGCAACCTGAGAAGTCTTTTTCAGATGAATGGATTATGAAAAAAATGTTCTCTCCAAACACTGGGATGATAATCAGCCTTAAAAAGGACAATAATTCTGATACTTACTACAATCTGGATGAACTCTGAGGACATTGTGCCAGACATAACAGGACACAGTCTGTGTGATTCCACTTATATGAGGTATCTAGAGTATTTATAGAGACAGAAAATAGAAGGGAAGTTGTCAGACGCTGGTGGGTAGGGGACAGAGGGGGACTTGTTCAGTGGGTGTAGGGTTTAGTTTTGCAAGATGAAGAAGTTCTGGTGTTGGCTGCACATCAATGAATATACTTAGCAAACTGACTGTGAATGTACTTAACGCTATTGAGTTGTGCACTTACAATGGTTTCGATGGTAAATTTTACTTTATGTGTACTTTATTACAATGAAAAGTAAATAGAAAGTCAAAGTGCTTCCTTTTATGAAGATATTGCTCTTTCATAAGAAAAAAATAAGAAGCATTCTATGATTTAGAGATTTTTTTATTTTTTGAGCTTTATTTCTCCTTGCCTTGATTTTTAAATCATTTTTTATTTAAAAATAAATAAATCTGTCATTTAATATACAGTGATAAAAACAAACCATATTTATATTGGTAAGATCATCTGGATTTAATTTTAGACCTTATTATCCCTGTTCTTATTGCTGTCTATTTTTGAAGTTAAAATCTGATTCAGAATTATTCACTTCCTCACCTGTTTTTCTTCAGCAAAGATAATAGGATCTTATTGCTCATCCAGAAATACTTGTATGACACTTAAAAAATTATTTTATGATTAAGAGCAGAAATGTTTGTTCTTTCACAAGCAGAGGGCCTGACAGACTCCAGGGCTTGATATGATTGCTCATAAGAAGCTAGCCACTTTAGTCTTTTTGCTTTTTTCTCCCTCATCATAATTAAACCTTCTCTCATGGAGAAGCATGGCTCTGAAAGTGCAAATAATGCTATAATTTTGAAAGAGTGCAATTTTGAAAGCAGTTTTGAAGCAGTTTTCTTTCTACTCCAAGGTTCTGACCCATGATGCAGTATCTTTCTTGAAGCATTGAAAAGGAAGCTGGAATCACAGCCAGGATTCTGCGAGCTGAGATGGAGGGCAGGCAGAAATGTGAGGGAGCTGCCTTGTGAGCTCTGGGCTGAGATGAAAAATACAGAGCAGAGGAAGAATTATAAACCTTCAGGAAGTGCATAGCTCAGTGTTATTTGTGAACCTTGTAAACATAATCAGAGTCTAGTCCTCCCTTCATAAAGTTCAT